TTTGATGATTTTTACTATTATGCTTGCCTTAAAAGTTATGTCATCCTTGAATCATGCTCTACTATTTTATGTGTTCTATTATTAAATTGTTACAAAATGTTTTTCCATTGCCATAGAAAACTCTACATTTTTTTAATAAATATTTTTTAGTTATAGATGGACACAGTACCTTTATTTTATTTATTTATTTTATGTGGTGTTGAGGATCCAACCCAATGCCTCACATGTGCTAGGCAAGCGCTCTACCACTGAGCCACAACCCCAGCCTTCTACATAATCATTTTAAATTCCACATCATTATGATGTCTTTGTCTCTACTAGTAGTTGTCGTTTCTCATTTTTGGCTAACAGAATTTTGTATAATTTATTATTAACTGTTGTTATTATAACTGTTTAGTAGCCCAGTAGATAATCTATTGAGGTCAAGTAGGTTCTCAATAAATGTTTGTTAAATGAAATGATTCCCTTGGTTTTAGATACCTTTCCTACTTATGGATTGTTATGACTTTGACACGGGTTACTAAATGGCTGTGGGTAGCTTGCATAATCTTTTTGAAATATCTTTGTCATGAAACTAGTAACGCCTTCCCTCAAAGGAAGAGTTAGGTTATAATTAGCTAGTAAAATGCTTTGAGGATGAAAAAATTAAGGTTGAGCATTTTGATCATCCTATTAAAGGTGAATTGTTATTATCAGGTGTAGATTAAAGCTTTCCCCAAAGTTGAAGTTAATTAAGTAGTACAGAAGTAACTATTTTTGTAACTATTTGCAACTTGGTTATTTGCTTTACTGAAATCCCTAGATTGCTTTGGAGAGAAGGAGCTTTTTGTAATGCAATTCATTCCTAGGTCTCTGTCATAGAGCCAAGTAAGGTGTAAAACCCTCTCATAATAAGAGCAGTAAATATGCCAGTACAGTGCAGCAGTTAGGATGATGTACCTCATATCATGCTTAAACTATGTTGTTTCCCTGTGGTTCTCAAATTTGTGCTTAAGCATCATTTGGAGGCCCTCATTAAAATGTTCTACATCCAGTGATTCTAGTTCAGCAGGTTATACTGCTGTGATGACTAATACAGGTGATTTCTAATTCAGGTAATTATATAGACAACAGTTTGAGACTAACTCCTGAATAGAACTTGATGTCCAAAGACTTACATACTGAGAATGTTTTAAAAATTGCTGGGCATCAGATATTTTACTATTTTGTTTTGTGTTTAATTCCATAGTATATAATATTTGTTTCCATAGTATGTTTGGGAAACTGTAGTACTTGCAGATGAACTATGAAAAAAAGAGTTTGATCAGATAAGTTTGTGGAAATATTTATATATAAATATTGTAGCTAATAGGGGGAAAGCATCAATTTAGGTTTGATTCTTCAGGATGGTTTCATGAAAGAATGGTATTGAAGAGATGGTCTTTTTTTTTTTTTT